CATGTTGGGGGGGAAATCAAAAATAGGTCTTAAGGCAGGCTTTACTTATAACAACAACAACAAAATTACATTTGTATAGCGCCTTTCACGTCGGGAGGATGTCCCAAGGCCCTGGACAATCAGTGTTTCGAACCTGAGCTGGGGGTCGGGATCGGGGAGGGCGGAGGGCAGGGGAAGAAGGAGGATGATTGAAGGCACAGTTGAAGAGGAGGGGCTTGAGATTGGTCTTGAAGGAGGCAAGAGAGGGGGCGAGGCGGAGGGACTGCGGGATGGAGTTACAGAGGGTGGGGGCAGAGTGTCTGAAGGCCCGCCCGCGGGCAAGGTGTGGGAAGTGAAGCAGTCTGGAGCCCGGTGAGCAGAGGGAGCGGGCAGGTTGGTTGGGGTTAGAAGGTCGCAGAAACAGTGGGGAGCAAGGCAATGGAAGGCTTTGAAGGTGAGGACAAGGATCTTGAACTGTATCCTCTGTGAGATGGGAAGCCAGTAGAGTCGGGCGAAGATGGGAGTTATAGAATCACGGAGCCCGGTCAGGAAGAGGACACGGGCTGCAGAGTTCTGAATGATCTGCAGCCTATGGAGGAGTTGGGGAGGCCAACAAGCAAGGAGTTTGCATAGTCAAGCTTGGGTGTTATGAATGAGTGTGTGAGGGTCTAGGCGGCCTGCGATGTGAGACAGTGGCAGAGCCAGGTGATGTTGCGGAGGTGGGGAAAGGCAGAGCGGGTCATGCATGAATATGGGATAGAAAGGATAGTTGAGGGTCAAACAAGACGCCAAAGTTCCAGACTGGCTCAGTGAAGTGAAGTGTGCATCCTTGGATGGTGATCTCTCTTGTACACCCGAAAATCCTCTCCGCATCACTCTCTCCTCCATCCAGCAAACCCACCCGCATTTCCCTCAAAAACATCCGTTCCCTCTCAAATAAAGCCCTCACCATCCACAACCTGGACGAGCACCTTGACATTCTTGGGCTCACCGAAATCTGGCTCTCCCCCAATGACCCCATCCCCCGAGTGGAAAACTCCCCTCCAGGCTACACTTTCCACCACACCCCCCGTCCAAACCAACGTGGCGGCCTTCATTTCCAAAGCCTCCCTTGGTCTTACCCCCTACTCTTCTGGCTACTTCCCCTCCTTCGAGCACCTTCTTCCACCCCTCTCTCCCAGTGAAAATCCTCCTTGTCTACCGCCACCCCCAAGCCCCCGGCTCCTTCCACACACATATCTCTACTCTCCTCTCTTCCCTGTCCCTCTGCTCTGAGCGCCTGCTCATAATGGGTGATTTCAACCTCCACCTAAACTCCCGTTGCACCACTTCTGCCGACTTCACTGCCCCCCTCTCCTCCCTAAACCTCACCCTTCATATAAATGCACCCACCCACAACCTTGGTCATCCCCTTGACCTCGTTATCACCCATGGCCTTGACATTTCCAACTTCAGCATAGTGGGCAAGGCCACCTCGGACCACTTCCTCATCTCCTTCTCCTCTCACATCCCTCTCTCCTCCACCAAGCCCTCAACCATCCTCTACCTCCCTTGGAAAAGGCGACCCCGTGAGACCCTCACAAAGGCCCTCACATCATCAAACATCCTATCCCTCTGGCCTTCCACCCGCGGAGATCCTGAAGCAGCCGTCCAGCTGCTCCATGATCGCCTTTCCTCCACCTTCAACTCCCTCGTGCCCCTGAAATCCAGGACCATCTCCAAACCCACCCTATCCCCTTGGTACAACAACCATCTCCGCCGCCAAAAAACCCAAACCCGGCAGCTCGAGTGCAGATGGCGGAAAACTGGCCTGACAGGTCACCGCCAACTGTGGCTCGAGCATCTCCACAGCTACCGCCGTTTTTTGACAAGCGCAAAAACGGCCTTCTACTCCAACATCATCTTGGAGGCTAAACACAACACCAAAATCCTTTTTTCCCACCACCCACCACCTCCTCCGTGCCCCCCCTCAGGCCTCCTCAATCTTCATATCAAGTGCCAAGTGCAAGGAGGTCATGGACTTCTTTTCATCTGGAAATCACAACAACCACCAGGCAGCCTCATCCACCTGCCCCTTGTCACCCACCACCACTCCATCTCTGTCCCCCTCACCCTCCCCATCATCTGCTCCTACCACCACCCCCATCCTACATTCCTTCCTCCCCATCTCTCCCTCCTCCCTTTCACCCACCATCACCTCCATGAAACCCACCACCTGCTGCCTCAACCCCCTCCCCACCAACTTGCTGGTCACCCAGTTCCCCCTTCTCTGCCCACTACTGGCTGACATCATCAACCAGTCCCTCTCCTCTGGATCAGTCACTACCCTCCTCAAAACTGCTGTCATCACCACCCTCCTCAAAAAACCTTCCCTAGTCCCTCAAACCCCAGCCATTACCGCCCCATTTCTAACCTGCCCTTCCTCGCAAACGTCCTAGAACGCGTTGTTGTCAATCAACTTCACGCACACCTCTCCTCCCACTCCCTCTTCGAACCCCTCCAGTCCGGTTTCCGCCCTGCCCACAGTACAGAGACTGCACTTGTGAAAGTCACAAACGACATCCTCACTATCTGTGACCAGGGCTCCCTCTGCCTCCTTGTCCTCCTGGACCTCTCCGCGGCATTCAACACAGTCAATCACGCCATCCTCCTCCACCGCCTTTCCTCTGTCATCCACCTCAGTGGGACCGCACTCGCCTGGTTCGAGTCCTACCTCACAAACCGCCAGCAGTACATCTGTACAAACGGCTTCTCCTCCCACTCACCCGGTTACCTGCCGGGTACCCCAAGGATCCATCCTTGGCCCCTTCCTCTTTCTGATCTACAGGCTCCCTCTTGGGGATGTCATCCGTAGACATGGGGTACATTTCCACATGTACGCAGACGACACCCAACTCTATTTTTCCACCTCTCTTTGCAACCCCCAGTCCCCTGATGTTCTGTCAGTCTGCCTGTCAGATCTCAGGAGCTGGATGAGCCAAATTTCCTTCAGCTGAACGTTGACTAGACGGAAGCCATACTCTTTGGCTCTCATTAACGTCTAAAATCTCATGATTCTCACCTCCTCCACCTACCTGATCTCCCCCTAAAACTCTCCGAACCCGTACGCAACGTAGGCGTCAGGTTCGACCCCCAATTATCATTCCTCCTCCACATCCGGGCCCTCACCAGCACCGCCTTCTTCCACCTCCGACATATCGCCCATCTCCACCAATACTTCTCTCCGAAAGTTGCTGAAACCCTGGTCCATGCCTTGTCACCTCTCGGCTGGACTATTCAAAGACCCTCCACGCCGGTCTCCCATCCACTACCATCCATAAAATCCAGATAATTCAAAACTCTGCCGCCCGCATTCTCACCCGCACGAAACTCTGTCCCCCGATCACCCCAGTCCTTGCCAGACTGCACTGGCTGCCTGTCCCAGAGAGGATCGACTTCAAGTCCCTGCACTCCTCTGCACCTCCCTACCTCTCTGACCTCCTCTCTCTTCAAAACAGTACCCGTTGCCTTCATTCCTCCAGGTCTGGCCTCCTCCTCATCTCCCGAGTCCTCCACTCCACCCTCGGCGGCTGTGCCTTCAGCCACTATGCCCCAAGGCTCTGAAATTCCCTTCCTCACTCCCTTCGTCTTGCTCCCTCTCTTCCTATTTTCAGGTCCCTGCTGAAGACCTTTCTCTTCGACCGCACCTTTGGTCACCTTCCTCCTCCTCCCCCTGGCTCGGCCCTGGGATCCGTTACTGTGAAGCCCTCTGAGACGCTGTCCAGTGTGGAGGGTCCTATATAAATCCAAGTTGTTGTTGTTGTGATGCTGTCAGTGCCTGAAGTATAAGTCTAAATGCTTAGGGTTTGGGTTCTTGGGCTCATGAAAGAGTGTTTCTCATATTCAGAACCTTGGGTGGTGGAAACAGATTCAATAACAACTTTCAAAGGGAATTAGAGAGGTACTTGAAAAGGAAAAAAATTGCAGGGGTAAGGGGAAAGAGCAGGGGAGTGGGACTGATTGGGCAGCTCTTCCAAAGAGCCGGCACAAGCACGATGGGCCGAACACCCTCCTTCTGTGCTGTAATATTTTATGATTCTATGATTCTTGTGATGCCCAATGCCACATGGACTGAAGCATTATTCATTTCGCTCCATTTTGAGCCAGTGTTCTGAATATGAGAAACATTCTTTCGTGACCTCATAACTGTGATGGAACTGCTTTTATATGCAATGTAACATAATCAAATGGATTCAACTAAGATATTATAGATTGGGATGTATTAATACTTTAAACGACAGTAAACAAAACAGTTAAGAAGGCATGATTGTGGCTATTGTTAAGTTGATGCCTAACATGGCTAGCAGCACACAGTCGTCCTTGCCATTGAATATCCCAGTACTTATAGAGACTCGTTTGATTCATAAATGTCCTGTAAATGTAGAGAATGGCAATTTCCGCTCCAATATACGTAAAATTAAGTTTCAGGTTTCAAACGTTTCAATTAGATAAATTGCAATCTGAAAGATGAAAGTGGTTTACTTTTAGTTTAGAATTTCCGAAAATGCAATTCCAAGTGTTCAATTTTCTCCACATCTGAGGCAGTCTTGGCAGACTCATCTATCGACTTCAGCTCAGCTCGGCTAATCAAGTGAAAATGCTTTAGAATTCCAGATCATGCCCATCAAAATGACACATGCTCTGACTACCCAATGAATATAATGTCCCTTTGTATGACTCAGACCTCATGCTTCTTTGGCAAAATACCAGGCTCTATCAGGGCTCATGATTTAATCTCAGAATTATCTTCTTCTGCTTTAAAAATGCATCTACTCGCTGCCTCATGATACTGGCACTAAATCAATTTTCTGCTGGGTTCTAATGCATCATACCTTTTAGTAGAATAAGAGACTTAGGACAACAAAGGAGATTTCATTTACCGGATTCTCTGTAACCGAGCTGCATTCTCAAGTACAAACACCTATATGACCATGGTCAACAGAGAGTTCGTGTACACATAGATGGAAAACAGATGGACTTACATGTATTCCCGGTGTGCTGAGTGTACAGCCGCTGCATTGTTGTAACGCCAAAGCACTATCACCGAAGACAATACATCCAATGTAGCATCAAACTAGAAAAGCCAAAAATAAGTCAATATGTAGTAGTGAATGTTCTGTTTAGAAAGTCAGTCAAAAAGTAAAACTATGTCAGACAAAGATATGAATCATGAATCTTGATATGTACAGGGCAATAGAATAAATGACGGAGTGCATTTAATTATATCTAAACATATGAATGACTTGAATTATAGGAAACAGAAATTTCATGGTCATTTATCATTCGGCCCTGCACCAGACTGCACAACCCTATCACCCCCAGCCACGCCTGGTTCCATTGGCTCCCCATCCCCCAGAGGATAGAGTTCAAAATTCTTGTCCTTTCCTTCAAAGCCCTTCATGGCCTTGCTCCTCCATACCTCTATGTCCTGCTAACTCCATATAGACCTGTCCACTTCCTCTGCTCAGCGGGCTCCAGCCTGCTCCACGTCCCACGCCCAGCCAGCCCCACCACAGTCCCTTTGCCTCACCCACTCCCTTGCCTCCTTCAAGGCCCATCTGAAGACCTTCCTCCTCAACCATGCCTTTGGTCACCCTCCTACCCCTACCCTCCCTGCCTTCCACGCCTCCTGATTCCAGCCCTCAGCTTGGGTCCAAATCCCTGGGTGTCAAGTGCCTCACTGATAACTTAATGATCTGGAAGGTGGACATTTTTCAGTGCAGCAACAGGGCACTGTTACTAGTCGCAGATAGACAGAATGGCATTTGTCGCTGTGGGCTGTTTCTGTGCTGCGGGCGGCACGGAAACCCGATTGGAGAGGTTCATGAAGGGAGTGGCAGGAGAGGAAGGAGCAAAGCTGGGAAGCAACAACTCGTTCCAGGAGTTGGTAGTTTGAGAGGTCATAAGTAGTGAATGACCTGAGAAAACAGGAGTCCACTAAAGGCCAGTGATAAAAATTACGAGTTGTAAAGAGATTTCAGTAGCTGAGCAGCACAGGTTGTGCAAATAGAAGTTCACTTTAGGATTACATAATTACAACTATTTGGCTTAGGGAAGTTCAATTAAGTTGCAATCACTTTCTGGTTCAGTGTTAAATGTAATTGCAGGTTTTACAAGTATAATGAACCTGGAGGTTAAGTAATAAACAGCTAGTTGGTTGAATTTAAAGGACTGCAGACTGACTCCGTTATAACGCGGTGCTTAGGTACCACAGAATTAGGTTCCCCCCACCCCCATTAGAAGAGAACCTCAAACAAATGGCCTCCTATCTCATTTCTGGGTCATCAGATCGCCCATGATGTCATTTCTGGCATTTGGCATAGGCTGGCCATCTTCCTGTACATGCGCACAGCACACAGAGCTCAGTTAAAGTCACAAGATATCTGCTGCATTCGCACTTCCCGGGCACCTGTTGTTCATCTCTCTCCTCACTCGCTCACTTCAAGTCTCTACCACATTCCAGTCAATCCTGTGACCTGCTTCTCACCACTCTTTGCTGCACTTACTTGCTGCCTTTCACACTGATTTTGAATTTGAACCCAGAGTATACTTCCCGATCCCAGTAAATGCATCTAATGTACCTAATATATCATGTGATTCTTTAGCCCATTGGTATGCCACATTCTTTATGTCCCTGAAATGTTAACATGGTTAATTGACACAAGCCTGAGAGGAAAGATCTTGCAGGAATGTCAAGAATAAACATGCTGCCTCTTTGAACCAATGATTTATTTTCACAACCAAATGAGATGAAACATTCCCTAAGGCCTAATCGACGTTCAACAATTTGCCTGAACCTCGCTACATTTACCCAAAGTAGAGAGTAAAATAAATGCGAATATGTGAAGTGAGGTTGGAACATAGAGCGATGAGTGAACATGCCTCCACTAACATATTTAACAATGATTCAACCTGAATACAATTTACCCCAGAGACAAATCCAGGTTGCTATAACCACAATTAAAAATCAAGAGAAACAATGACCCCTGACTAAGTGTTGAATTTTATTTTGTTGTGGTTGGTTCAGGTTCAATATCAAGTATACCTCTTCCATATATTAAAAAAAATTGGAGTCTAAAATAAAAACCAACAAGACACAATATTCTGTTGGTCCATAATGTTACTGGATTTGGCCGCTTACGTGAGCAGATGAGGAAATCAGCAGTTAGATTTAAAATCAGATTTATACTATTCCCAATAGGAATCCTTATAAATGAATCTTTAGGTGCAATTAATGCCCAAATATGTAAATTAAGCTTATTAAAGCATTGGTTTAGGCCATTAAGAGAATCAGAATGTTCCACTGCCATGAAGGCATTGTTTTGTATGCCATGTATGGGAGCACACCCAGAATGAGAGAAGAAGCAGGTACAATGCTGATACTGGGAATAAATTAACATGTTACTTACAGCAAAGCCAAATGCTGATGCACTATGTCGCATGATGGAAACGGCTGAAAGAGACAGAAAACATTAGATACGCAGCAAAATCCGCATTGACTTTTTTTTCTTTTGTCCACTTTCAAGGCACTTTTTGACATTGTTTCATTCTTTACATTTTATTCCAGAAATTTTAAAATATCAATCTAGTGGGGAAGAGGAACAAGAGTAAAACATACAGTTAGTATTCTGGGAAAATGAGATCAAACAGGGCAAGGAACTTTTTCATTCCGATCTCTCCATTGATCTTGAGAAATTATGCATTGTGTTTGAAAATGTATGCTCGATTAAAACTCCAGGTTAATGCAAAGGTGGGGGAAGGGGGAGAAGAGACAGTGAGACAAAGAGAGAAATAGATTTTTAAAACTTAGTTTTTACATTTTATTCTACTCATTCATAGGTCACCTGTCTGTAAAATTTAGTGATCAGAAGATCCTCTGAATATATAATATAATAGTCTTCTGTAGGAATATTGCCAGTCTTTTTAATCTGGGCATGGAAACTATAATCCAGTATGTGTGTTTCAATCTGCAGGACTCTTGACCTCTGTATTATATATAACACAACATTAAATATTCTGTCAAATCATCAGAAAGAATGTGAAAGGCTAGCAAATTGGACATCATTTAAAATATCAGTTAGATCACATTCAAACTGCAATTTGATTAGGCTTTGCTGAGTACATTTCAAAATCATGAATTATATCTACTAACATAATCTAAATGTTCATCTGTTTTAAAAAAATATTATTGGACTTACTGCAAGTTACTCACCGTTTTCACATTTTCATGCAACTCTATCTCTAGTCAAGTCACAAGCTGCAGACATATCCCTTTACCCCGAATGCCATTAAAACATCTCCATTTTTGTACATTTTAGTACTTATTGGCATGTTCATATAGTTTATCTTTGCAATACTTCTTACATGTGGTAGAGCAAGAAACTATAACTGGACCACTTCCTGGAAATTAGCAAATACTGGCATAGCATTTATTATAGAATTGTACCAATAATCTAAAGAAAATACAATTCTGTCAATTCCACTACAGGTTTAAAAACTCAGTTAATTTTAGAGGAATATTTATATAGTGCGTGAGATACCATTCCCAGTGTTATTCAAAAAAACTCAGTAACTCTTGTAAGTTTTAAGACTACATTCATTTATGATAATGCTGTATTAAAGATGTTCAATTGCCACTAACACGTAGTGTGTTTGGAAGGCTTTCCCTTGGCACAATTTCTACTTACAAAAAAAGTCTCATATAATCAACTTTTATAAAATAAAATAAATATATAGATGTTCCCAAGTGAAACAAACACAATTATATATTATTTCAGATACAACAGAAATTTACATTTCGATAGTGCCCTTCATGTCAGGAGCACCCTAAAGTGCTTAGGATCCTACCTACTCATCTCTCAGAAATACAAAAACTGACATATAGATGTCTTGTCACAAACAACTGTATGTCAGGAATGCATCCACTGTAACATTTCAATGACATTTTTACTTGATAGACACAACAGTGGGTATGGTGCTTAAGGAAAATTACCAGCTATAGGAATAACATAAGAATGAAACGGCAATCATTTAAACAAGCAAAGCATGTATTTAAGTTTTATGTATGTCCATTACTAACAGCCTTTCACCAGTCTTAAACTAAATGCCTAACCATGCATTGTATTCCAATTAGACCATATTGAATAATTTGCTCACGTGAGTTTTGATGCATTCTGTAATATTTTCCCACTGGATATCTAGTAAATGAATTAAATACCATGTACCATCTTTGTGAGCTGTGCTGTGGACGTCCAGGGGAGAATTCCAATGATGCACCAATCACTTTTCACTTTGGCACCTTAGAGGAAATATTCCACCTGGTACGTAAGGTAGCAGCTTATTTTAATAATAATAATATTTGCATTTAATACAGCGCCTTATCACGTCTTCCGATGTCTCAAATCGCTTCACAGAATATACTGTAAAGTGAATTGACTGTATATTTTTTGGGCGAACACAGCAGCCAATTGCACACAGCAGTGTCCTACAAACCGTCGTGGATTAAGTAATAATAATAATAATAATAATAAGTGACCAAATTATTATTTAAAAAAACATTTTGAAGGGATTATTTCCCCCGGAAAAGCAATCTGCCAATCGACGAACAACCGGGTTCCTATTTACTGCTAAGTCAACAGAGGCGCGTGGAGAAGGAAACTTGCCTCATGTTTCGCCCTGTCGGGGTATCAAACCCAGGTCCTCTCGCTTGCAAGGCAAGAGCTCTAACCAATACATGACAGGATACCACTTGGGGTGTCAAGTCGAACAAAAAATTAGGAGTTAATATTAAAATGCGGTTAATTTAATTTTTGATTTTCCACCCCTTTTTGGCAAACTATTGCAACTAAGTTAATTCCAAAATGCAAAACACGACAAATCTGATGTTCTAAAGGGGGCGAAGGGGATGGGAATATTTTATGTGATTTGTGTTTTATCTTCTTCAAATTAACCTTAGTTAAAATGTAATCCATGAAGAAATAAATATAATCTTTATATTTAATGTAATGCCATTATCGAATCATTGAAATGTCTCAAAATGCTTCACACTTTACTACAAAGTGTAGTGACTGTGGCAACCAAATTGGCTGCCACGTTTCCCTAAAATCCAACTGACATTTGATTGCAGGCAAACGTGGCAGCCTATTTGGACCCAGCAAAGTCCCACAAACAGCCATAAACTGAATGACCAATTTCTATCTGGAGGATCGTTTGCCAGAAAATAGGAAAAAAGTAGGTTAAACCCCCTTCGCTTTTCAAAATCCTCATAAATGAAAATTATTTTTTTTCTATCAGATTCAGAACCTCGTATGTGTTTTGAAACCAAATACGTTATTCAGGACAATCAGTAGCTAAACTCTTCCTTTCGGTTGATGCTAAAATGCAAAAATCCAATAAATACTGCCAGGGTTTCTATTCATAAACTTTATCTCTATTCCTTTGAGTTTAGAAGGATGAGGGGTGAGGTTTTTAAAATAATAAAGGGATTCGATAGGTACTTACAGAGAAACTATTTCCTCCGGTAGGGGAATCCAGAACAAAGGGGCATAATCTTAAAATTAGAGCTAGGCCATGTAGGAGTGAAATTAGGAGCTAGTTTTTCACCCAAAGGGTAGTGGAAATCTGGAACTCTCTCCCCCAAAAGGCTGTGGATGATGGATGCACTCACATTTTCAAGATGGAGGTTGATAGATAGTTGTTAGGTCAAGATGTTAAGGATTTGGAGCAAGGACGGGTATCTGGACTTGAGGTACAGATCAGTCATGATCTTATAAAATGGCGGAATAATTTTGAAAGGCTGAATAGCTTACTCCTGTTTCAAGTTTCATTGTTTAGGTTCTTTTACCTCGCCATTGCACCACTGATCACTCCATTAGAAGTTGGAAAGATGCACAGCCCTAAACACTGAGATACAGCATCGTGAGCAACCAAATCTAGTGACTTACATTAGAATACATTAGAATATACAGCACAGAAACATGCCATTCGGCCCAACTTGCCGGTGTTTATGCTCCACATGAGCCTCCTCCTGCCCTTCCTCAACTAAGCCTTCAAGCATAACCTTCTATTCTTTTTTCTCTCATGTACCTATCTAGCTTTCCCTTAAATACATCCAATTTCAAGGCTGCTTTGTCTTAGTAAAACGTGGAAATGATATAGTAAGCCAGATAATATGAATACCGTCAATATTTGCACCAGAGGTTTAGCTGACTGGAGTTTGATTACATACTATTCCTGACATTTGTAGTATAATTTACAAAATTTCTGAGAGAAGGAAATAACCCCAATACAGATAAACAGGTATGAAAAGAGAGACACCATGCAGAATTATTCAGATCCCAGAGCTGCTTTAATTCCCCTTTGAATCATTACTGTTCAAAACAACAAGATAAACAAAATTAAACAGTGCTTCTGTTTGTCACTTTATTGCATATTAAAGCCTTACAACACAAAATGTGTCCAAAGTTTGTTTAGAATCTGAAGAGATAAGATGATTCAGCAAATGTTTATTTACCATCTGGATGAACATCTTTCTACTTACTGCTTCTTATTCTGCATCCAGACAGAAAAATGCAAAAATGCAGATGTAATCCCTGGGTTTTAAATTGTTGAAACGTCATCAATTTTACACCCCGACAAACATTTTCAGTGATACTGTTCTTTCCTTTAGTACATTTACTCTATTCCAATAATAATTGATATTCAACATTAAAGGCATTAAATAACCCTTTATGTTTCGGAGAGAGGGGCATGTTCCTTTTAAAAAAGGTCAGTTACAAAGAATTTAGATTTTCTTTACCATTGTACTGTATTTCCACTGCTGTCTTTTTTCCACCCAAATGTTTGTGCAGACGTGTTGATGATCTTGTGGTGGAATCGTGACAATGTGGGTGAATTGGAAGTTGAATGTGTTGGAATGTATATATGTATTATATACAACCAGAAGGAGTTGTATGCCCTGATTGGCCTCCTCTTTCTGTTAGTTTTAGATAAGGAAGTGTTCTGATTAAGCACGTAGAATAGTGAAAAACATGCCCAAATAAGGCAAACTGAAACTGGTGCAAACAAGCTGTAGGGGCCCTCCAGACAAAAAACAAAAAGAAACGAAAGGTATATAAGCTTGGGCTAAGGGGTGGTCTTTAGAGATGTCTCCAGGGCAGACTGCAGAAGGATCGGTAGTATTGTTCTGTTATTTTATATTGCATTAATTTTATATAACTGACATTATTCGTATGCTTAATAAACTGTTGAAATCCGCCATTTTGGCTTGTCAAGATTGAACTTATTTTCTGGGTGCAGGCTCGGTTCCAAACGAGTCCAATACCAAATTGGCATAGTCAGCAGGATCTTGACAGGATTTTCAGCGGTTTGTTTACATGCGAGTGATTGGGGTTAGTTGTGCTCAGTTGGAGGAACGGGTGTATTGTTATTTGAGGCATCCCCGGCTGATAATAG